CCCTAAGTGATAATATACAATATGTCAACACATAACAAAATGGAGGGAGGCTATACAATAAGTCACAGCATTCAATGCCTTTAGAGCCTTTCCTGAATTGCCAACACTAGAACCTTCATTTGAGAACATTGAAAACAATGGGGTGAGACAACCATTTCAGTTAGGGCTGTTCATAGGATGGACGGGCTCCGGTGACTAGGGACATGATGGGATTTTCATCTTATGTCTTGTCCCATCCCGAGACTTTCATAGCATGTCCCATTCCGCTTTTCTAAAATAAAAAAAATTATAATTTTAGGTATAAATTTTTTTATGTTATAATATTTGTTTTTCATTGGACTTCTAAAGATAAAAACATTATTATAAAAAAAAACACTAAAGTATACATCTAATTCTTTAACTTTGCACAAGGTTTCAAATTAGTCCATAATATACATCTGATTCTTTAACTTTGTACAAGATTTCAAATTAGTCTATAGTATACATATGATTCTTTAACTTTGTATAAGGTTTCAAATAAGTCCATTAACTTTTAAAAGTATATTTTTGGTCCTTTAACCCTAAAACTATTAGACTTAAATGATATTTTTTGTAACAATCATCGTTGTTTTGGAAAAAAAAACTTAATATGTTAGCATTTTAAAATATTTTATCAATATTTAAGATCTCAATGTTATCATTCTTTGTTAACAATTTTAGGATTAAAGGACTACAAGTATACTTTTTGAAGCTAAGAGATCAAATTGAGACCCTATATAAAATTAAAGGATTAAATATATATATATATATATATATATTAGCCTAAAAAATATTATTTAGCAAGCTCAATTATATAATGTGAAAAAGGTATAAAAATAATACTATAAAAAACAAAACTGTAAAAGAAATATTGTACAATGGTTTTATGAATTATTTTATTAAGGAATGAGATTTTGTTGAGATAACAGTGCAACTTAAGAGTTGAAAATCACTATAAAAATAATTATTATTAATAAGTGAATTGAATAGTTCAATAATAATTATGAACATATAATTTTTTTTAAAATAACTGTGGACGAGATGACACTGTCCCACGTTCATCCCGTTACGGATATTGTTCTATCCCATCTCATAGTGATTCCATCTCAAAAATTTTTTTGTCCCTCCCGTCCCGTCCCAAATTGATCAAGACCAGGACGGGATGGTCGGAATAGGATAAGTTGAACTCGCTTAGTCTCAGTAACTAATGTTTCAACTCATCATGCATATTAACATGTGCATATGAGGTGCTAAGGGGAGCAATTAAGATAATAATCATATAAATATCAATTCATCATTATCCATAACTCAAGCAGTAGAAATCACCCAATGCCTCCCATCAATCCATTATTTATCCATGTTACTGGCCACTTGAAAGCTCACTAGTCATGTGATGAGGATCAGCCAAAATCCTAGAACACACAATTGGACCATGGATCTTCCCTTGAAATATAATGACAAGGTATTTTAGCTCCTCATTGAACTAGTGAGACCGTCTCTCATTGAACCAGTAGGACAGAGAGTGAGCCGATCATTGTACACTAATGGGGGCCTTATCACGTAGTAGGATAACTAACTCCATCAACAACCAAAACCAACCATTTTAACCATTTGCAATATTGAAAAGAGTGGGATTTTATAAAATAACCACAAAGCACTTCACTTATAAAGTACATATCCATATAAGTTCAAATCCCAAATCATACTTTTTCATTTCAAGTAAAACAATTTCCACAAGACAAGTATAAGAAAAGATCATATTAATAATAGCATTATGTAATTCCTTAGATCATATATAAATATGCATTTTCACAATTACTCACAAACACACATCAACACACATAATAAGTGAAAAGTGATTATCTCTTGCTGAAGCAATAAGAAGAATGTACCACAAGAATCTGGATTCTAGCCACAACTCACAAGAGCTCTACACAACATAACACAAACAACCACAAAATTAAAACATAGCTATTTGCTATGTATAGTAATTAGAGATCCTAACCTTTTAAGTACTCAATTCTCACCAAAACCACAAATTAATCCATCCAACACTAAACTTAAGGTCCCAGCAGCTCAAATAACCCCTCCAAACCATCTACTAAGCTCAACTTATATAATTCAATCAAAAACCCTGATTGTGAACCCAAGCTTCAACCTCAAAAATACCCATTTGAGCAATTCAATTTCTATCAACAATTTAAACTGATTAATCAGTAATTCTAACTTATATTAGCATAATCCAATTATCAAAACTCATTTCCAATCTCCATATTATCATTAAACATAAAAAACCTCAAGAAATCATAAATCATAAGCTCAAAAATCTTCAAAACTCCAAATTCAAGAAATTTAAACCAATTAAACACTTAATCTAACTCATATAAACCGTTTAAACTCAAATTAATCAGTTAAAGTTTCCTCCAATTCAAAATCCTCAAGAACCCTTAAGATCCAACTATTCAAATATGTGAAAATCAAAGAGAAAATGGTAGAAATCAAGTATAGAAAGCTTACTTGAGTGTTAGGAAGCTTGAAAACACCTCCAATGGGTTAAAAATCCTTGCTCTAGTAGAGCCTAGCTGAAACCTTTCTCCTTCCCTTATGATTTTCGAGCTGAGAATCTAATTTTAAAAACCAAATTTCGATGCATTTGCTATAATGAACATCTAACTAGGGCTGCACATGAGTAGGGTTGAGTAGGGCAAGCCTCTTGCCCGATGCCCAGTCTGAAAGAAATGCAACCTGCTGCTCGGTCCCTACCTGGCAGAAACCCTAACTATTTTAAGCTAGGCAAGGGCAGGCTGGGCAATACGGGCTTTCCTGCCCAACTTAGTGACACCTTGCCCATATCATATGTCGAAAAAAATTCAATTATCATGCTTTGGGACAAGGTGAGAGTAAAAAAATTTATCACGAATGACTCAATTGCTCGTATATGTAAGGTTTATGTAACCTTGTTCTTTAGCCTTTGATTTCTTATGGGAGGTAAAAAAATATTTAATAATTAAAACATTTAATAACTAAGCTAATTCTTTAGTTCATTCATATAGTTGGCAGATTCTTATAATCATGTGAAAGCATAAGATTTGAAAGATGGTTTTAGTTTTTTTTTTGTTTAAAAAAATTGGAGGTAAGAAGAAAAGAAGAAAATTTGACTAGGAGCAATTTAGCGTATTTAATCTTATATTTTGATATTTGGTTCTTTTATATAATTATAATTTTTATGCTCCTTTTATTTTTTGTAATTTAACCTAATTTTTTTAGTCAAAATGAAAGGGATAATTGCTGAAAATTATATTATATATTATAATATATATAATTATACACTTTTTTCGAGTAGGGCCAAATGGGTAGGGCAGCATACCCTGCCTATGCCCCTGCCCTACCCGTGAATCAACCCAACCAGAAAATGCTCATTTTTGTTTGGGTAACTTTTTGTTGGGCTGGGTGCCTTTTTCGCTGGCTCAGGTGGACATATTGGGCATGCAGGCCTCATGTACACTCTTACATCTAACGAATGTCTAACGAACGACACAGTTAACGCTTCGTGTTGTTTACTATAACGAACACCTAGCAAACATCTAGTAAATGATATATTAATACTCTGTGTTGTTCGCTATAGAGAACATCTAGCGGACTTCCAGTAAATGACACAGAACAAAAAATGTCCAACTTCAAAAAAATTTACAACCAACCCTACGAATGTCCAAAAATTAGGAACTATGGCTCTTTCGAAAGCTTGAGATATCTATTTTTTTGATACAAAAGGAATCACTCAAATGTCAGGTTATTTGACTCTTGAAAATATCCAAATTCCAAGACTACTCAAAAAAACCTAAAGATATGACCTTCAACCATAATTTTTAGTATTTTTAAGCCTCAAACTTCCAATTCGAATAATTTAATATTTCAATTTTTCTTGCTAATAAAAGTTTAATTAACTCTAAACCTCATATTACAAACTCAGAATGTTACGTTGAATGAGCTACAAATTTGCTTAGAATGATACTTAGGGCTATTGAAAAATGCTTCTAAGGTACTAGATGTACTCCCTTCATTTCTTTTCATAAAAATATTTGACAAATTATATTAATAAAAAGTTGGATAAAATTGATTAGAAGCAATAAATATTTAAATACCATAACTTTTTTCTCAAAACATACTCTTATAAGTATTTATTTTACTGTTTGGATCATTTCAATTTGCAGTATTTAAATATGTTTATTCCATATAACTTTACTCAATCCCCCCGAGGAATTTAACTCAATTTTCAATTAATAAAATATTTAAAGAATTAATAAAATGAAACAAAGTTATTTTTTCCTTTCTTTCCCCCCGACCCTCGTCCTATTGGACATGGTGACGTGTAGACCACAGACAGGCTAGGAGCGCCTCCCGGTCACACACTCACTGTGACATTTTGGTTGGTTTCTGTGGTCTTCGGGGGAACCGACGGCAACGGTGAAATAACCAGAGCCGTTATTAAAATTGTTTTTTTTGAAAGATTTTATTATTTTTAGTTTTGAACAAATTGTATTTTAACTTTATATAAAGTTTCATTTTAGTGTCTTGATCTTATAAAATATTTTTTAGCTTTTAATTATGTACAAAATTTATTTTAATTTCTTAATTTTATGAAATATTTTTTCATGTCTTTCATTCGTTTAATAAAAATTATTCATATTGAAATAGTAAATGTTGATAAAATATTTAGTATATTAATTTTAAATTTTTAAAAACAAATAATTATTTTAAAAAATGATAATTTGAGAGTAATAAATTTAGAATAGGATAATAAATTAGAATTAAAATTATATTTTTACCTTTGGGTTTTTTATTACAAGAAATTGCCAGAAGCATCCCCGTTACGGAACAAAGATTTTTAAGATCAGATCTGAGAAATCCACCAACCCCACGCTCAATCTCCACCGTCCATTTCAACTTTCAAACCTATTAATACCCCCTCTCGCTACCCGTTACCTTCGCTCTTCGCCTCTCACTTCTCTTCCCCTTACTCTGTTCCCACACAGGGAAATTCTTATTCTCCTCTAGCCGCCGTTGCAGCCGCCATGGCCTTGGTCGTCGAGAAAACCACCGGTGGCCGTGAGTACAAGGTCAAGGACCTTTCTCAGGCTGACTTTGGTCGCCTCGAGATCGAGCTCGCTGAGGTCGAAATGCCCGGTCTCATGGCTTGCCGTGCTGAGTTCGGCCCTTCCCAGCCATTCAAGGGCGCCAGAATCACCGGTTCCCTCCACATGACCATTCAAACCGCCGTCCTCATCGAAACCCTAACTGCTCTCGGAGCCGAAGTTCGCTGGTGCTCCTGCAACATCTTCTCCACTCAGGATCACGCAGCCGCCGCCATCGCTCGTGACAGCGCCTCCGTCTTCGCTTGGAAGGGGGAGACTCTTCAGGAGTACTGGTGGTGTACCGAACGTGCCCTTGACTGGGGTCCAGGCGGTGGTCCCGATCTGATTGTTGACGACGGTGGTGACGCTACCCTCTTGATCCATGAGGGTGTTAAAGCTGAAGAGGTTTATGCTAAGACTGGTCAGTTGCCAGACCCCTCTTCTACTGACAATGCTGAGTTCCAGATTGTTCTCACTATTATCAGGGATGGGTTGAAGACTGATCCCATGAGGTACCACAAGATGAAGGGCAGACTCGTTGGTGTCTCTGAAGAGACCACCACTGGTGTTAAGAGGCTCTATCAGATGCAGGCTAATGGAACTCTGTTGTTCCCTGCCATCAATGTCAACGACTCTGTCACCAAGAGCAAGGTAACTATCACTTACAATGTATAGTTTAGTTTTAGATCTGTTTCAGATTTGAAATTTTGTCAACTTTATAGCAGCTAAAAAGTCGACTTCAGAGTCAGTTGTTCAGATCTAATGAGTTTGAACCTTCGTACACTTGGGACTAGAATTCTTCTACTTGTGGAGTATTAGATCTACCGCATGACCTATGTTTTGTGTCGGTTCTGCTTCTAATTTTAAGAAGCTCTGTAGTTTTAGATGGGCCTTTTTGGAAAACCAAGCGTAAATTTAGCAATTGAATTTTGAATCTATGATCTGTTTGATATCGGTCCTGTAAGTAGAGCAGAGCAGGGTATGTGTCAGGTGTAAGCTAAGGTCTATGATGTGGGGCATTAAATTCTTGGGTTATTTTCATTTGCACGTTGATCTTCATTTTGATTGGAAGCGAGTACTTGTGACTTACCTCTGGGTCCATGGTGAGATGATGGATGGATCTAGTTATAATTAAATCCTAGTCTTGGAGATTTCAGTACCAGCAGTGACCGATTAAATAAATGTTTGCTTTGCTTTGTGTTTGTTTAACAGTTTGATAACTTGTACGGCTGCCGCCACTCTCTCCCTGATGGACTGATGAGAGCCACAGATGTTATGATTGCCGGGAAGGTGGCCGTCGTGTGTGGTTATGGTGATGTCGGCAAGGGCTGTGCTGCTGCCTTGAAGCAGGCTGGTGCTCGTGTGATTGTGACTGAGATTGACCCCATTTGTGCCCTTCAAGCTCTCATGGAAGGTCTCCAAGTTCTGACCCTTGAGGATGTTGTTTCTGTTGCTGACATTTTTGTCACCACCACCGGCAACAAGGATATCATCATGGTTGATCACATGAGGAAGATGAAGAACAATGCCATTGTTTGCAACATTGGTCACTTTGACAATGAAATTGACATGCTTGGACTTGAGACATACCCTGGCGTGAAGCGCGTTACCATCAAGCCCCAGACAGACAGATGGGTCTTCCCTGAGACTAACACCGGCATCATTGTGTTGGCCGAAGGACGTTTGATGAACTTGGGTTGTGCCACGGGACACCCCAGTTTTGTGATGTCTTGCTCCTTCACAAACCAGGTGATTGCCCAGCTTGAGCTGTGGAAGGAAAAGGCAACCGGTAAGTATGAGAAGAAGGTCTATGTTTTGCCAAAGCATCTTGATGAGAAGGTGGCTGCTCTTCACCTTGGCAAGCTTGGAGCCAAACTGACCAAATTGTCCAAAGAACAAGCTGACTACATTAATGTGCCGGTTGAAGGACCATACAAGCCTCCTCACTACAGGTATTAAGTTGATGAAGAAGGATCAGATGAGAAATTTCTGTATGGATCGGCATGATTTTCATTTTTTTTTCCCTCTTCCTTTTTTTTGGGTCGATTCTCAAATTGACGTAGAGCTTCTTGCATCTGATCTTTTGCCGAATTTCTGTTTCTGGTGAGAGGTTGAAAAAGAAAGGAAATGTATGGACCTCTCTCAACTGAGATCAAATAAGTCCTTTTTATTAGGTGTGTGTGTGAGGCAGAATATGTAGTCTGTTTAATGTGTTGTGTTCTTTTGTATCTCAATTTTTAAAGTGAAAATTGCAAAAAAAATAAAATAAAATGGTACTATTTTTACGTTGTGTCAAATTATTGATAGTCTCCCAAACAATTGCAGCATATTGCTTCTAATGTTTAGAATTTGACGCAAAACTCAATTCAAATTTATAATAATGCTGCAATATTTGTTAGGGAGCCAAATCTCTTTGCCAAATATATCCGCAGCCCACACATGTAGTTTGGATGATCTCCAAACATCCCCAAACCTTCCTCCCCCTCTTTTCCTACCTACTTCCTCACCAAACTGTTCCCCATTCTCCTCCCATCCCTTGCCTCTTGTCATTTCATGACTGTAGTCAATAATACTTGCTTATCAAGTGAAAATCCGACCGGTGATTGAACTAATCAAGGGTGAGTGATCATAATTAAAATGATATAATGTAAAATATACAAAAAGTCATAAGTAATCCTGAAAATAGTAATATTTAAATAATAAAAAATTTAATCCACAAGTAAATGTAATGTTTATTTTTTTTAAGTTATTAAAGCACAAATTCGACACTACTATTTTTTAAAAATTTAAAATGACGTGGTTTCATGTTAAATGAGAGAGAAAATTGTAAAATTTAATGTAGTCCTCGAAAACTCTTAACTAATCAACTTAAGTTTCAGTATCCTATTATTGAGAAATATGCGTGTGGAAATTACCTTTGCCTATGTCGCGGAAATATTTATGCCCCACTTTTTGAATATTGGTTTTGAAAGTAGGCGAATGATAATAAATTTTCTTATATTTTTATTTGAATACGGAGACCGGAGTTAGAGTTGAACATTCAGGGTTAGAAAAACGATTCAAATGGTCTTGGAAGACTTCTGCACATGAAACAAACTTTAAACAATGGTTGTCAATTTATATTATCTTGTGTTGAAGGCTGTTAGTTTCAGAGAGAATTATAGTTCTAAAGCAAAAAAAAAAATACCAAACAAGTCTTAAAAGTTATCATTCTCTATTGTAAAACTTATCATTATAAACTGCTTAAAATGTTATTGAAACTTTTTCGTAATTATTTTTTTTTGGGATCTCATTGTAATTGTTCCTTAATTTTATTCACAAGTTTTTGGTAGAAGGGAAAGATACCTACTTCCACTCACCTTCGGCATGATTAAGTTGATGGATATTTTATTGAAAATTGTTAAAAATATGTTGATTTGCGCCTTATGTTTTAGGAAAAATTTCGATTAAAGACCGCAGTACAGAATTAATTTCAAAGAGCCTTCAAAATTTTCTAAAACTTCACTGCAGGACCAAGGGGCAAACTGATACTAATTCTACAAAGAAAATGACGCTATTGCTTCTAATAATACTTATTATGGGTGACATATAAATAGACTAATTTTAGTTGTAAATAAAGGTATGTATGTTACAAATTATCTAGTCCCACTTACAAATGGGCTCTCCCACACTAGTTCACTTATGGACACCTTCTTCATGTGAAGGAGATGACATGTAAATAGACTAATTCTAGTTATAAATAAATGTATGTATGTTGCAAATTGTCTAGTTCCACTTGCAAATAGACTCTTCCACACTTGTTCACTCACAAACACTTTCTTCAGGTGATAAAGGACTAATTCCAGTTGTAAATATATATATGTATATTGCAAATTTTCTAGTCCCACTTGCAAATGGACTCTCCCACTTTTATTATGAGGAGTAGTAGTGTCATTTTTTGTGTGAAATTAATATCATTTTGCCCCTTTGGTCTTATAATGAAGTTTCAAAAAGTTTTGAGAAGCTCTTTGAAATTAATTCTGTGCTGTGGTTCTTAAACAAAATTTTCCCTATATTTTATTGGGGGTGAGCAATTTGGATATTTATTTATTTTATCCAATAAGTGAGGAGACGACAACTATCTTATCTTAAATATAATGGGAGTGCTGAAATCACGAAATAATGTAATCATCCAATCACCTAACAAGAGTTAAACTGGTGGGGTTTGAATTCATCGGTAGGCGGTGGCGAAAAAGGCATTCATTGGTAGGTAAACAATAATAGTATTTGAACCATAAAAAAAAAAAAAGTCTTTATAGTTTTATACAATGACATGAAAAACGTTTGGTCATTGAATATGTTGTAGCAGTAATTCAAGAGTTAACGACACAATCATGGTTAAATTAAAGTTAACTTGTCATAATTAAAATATATAAAAATATTCATATATTTTTAACTAAAACATGCATTCATTCACAAATAAATAAAACATTTATACATAAACCATGCTTAATCTAATAGAGCAGAGTTATTGAAGCATACATGCAAGGAAATGCTACTTTAAAAAACAAACAAAAAATGTAATATCAAGTTCAATAAAAGAAGGAAAGAAAATGCAAAATCTAACTTCAAAACTCTTAACCGAAACAACCAAAGAATTGGTTTATTGGTTTACCAATCTGGTTGGTCAATCCCTTCCAAGTTTTAATGCCATGATTCTTATAGTTTCGAATCATGATTTTTTTTACCTGTAAAATCTCTTTCATCCAGAATGTTAGTCTCTGTAGTTTCATAACAACTCAGATATGAGTTAGAAACTAAAACCAAAATTTATTAAAAATATATGGATCAAAATCAAAATTCATATGAACTAAAACTAAAACTCATTAAAAGTAAAGATTAAAAAAAAAATCTTTACGAAAATTGTTTTGGGGGTGGGGGTCTCCATTTGGCAATCTTTTTTTTTTTAAAGAAAAACTTGCTGCAATTATTCTCAATGGATGCAATTTCTCTTTTGCTGCATGGAACATATCCTCAATTATCCTCAATTATATGTAAAAGTGTTTAACATTGAAGCCATTTGAACATGTTTAAAGATATGTTACACATAAATTGAAGAGTTGCACCCATTGAAAATGATTATACCCTCTCAAATTGATGAAATCAGATTTGACAGCAAGAAAGATAACGAATTCAAATAATGGAAATCAGATTTTATTGTTAAAAATTGATTTTTGCCACTCAATCAAAGTCTACTTTTTTGTCCTGCCTCACACATTTAACTTTCGTTTTTTTAATCTATACTTTTTTTTTTTTTATAATTTTGATCCTTTTATTTTAACGAGGATTTAAATGTTGCAAACTGTAGCATTTAATACATATAAAATTTTAAATATTTCTACTTAATTGAAAAACTAGCAATTAAAAGCATTACAGAATATTTTTCATATATTTCCTCATTATGCTCCTCATCTTCTACCATCATGATTATGTTTTTTCCCCATATGCTAACGTCTTTTGTTAAATATATTTACAGCCTTAAAAATCTTCAATAACATTTGACAAAAAATAATTATTAATTAATATATAAAATTACTTTGACTTGGAATTTTAAGGATAACTTATACAAATTGTTAAAAAAAAAAGCATTACAGAATATTTTCAAACATCCAGCTTTAAAATAAGAAACAAACTCCTTTCCGGTGAATTAAAAAACTTCTAATACGCTGAATTTATTTATCCTTTTTTAACATTTTCTTCATTAAAAACGGCATATTTGGCACCATTTAGCAAATGCCACCAATAGCTGTGTTTACATGAATGTTGTGATTAAAAGCGTTTCCTAAAACCAGCAAGCGTTAATTCAAGTAGAAAAGATTTTAACATCATGAGCATCCGGGAGATTAGTTTTTCACAATTCGAGTAAAAAAACTTGTTTGCGGTAAAGTTAAAATGTTCTAAGATTGTCTCTACTTTTCTTCTCATGTGAAATAAATTTAAACGAATCATTTATTAAAAGCTTTTAAGTCAATCTATTTAATTAGCATTTCGCATTTTGTTTAAACTCCCTCTAATCCTAAATGTAAGGATAAATAATTTGCATAAATTAAGAAAATCAAATCAGCTATCTACCAAAAAAGTTTATTGATTTTTCTAAAATATCCTTTTTTAATCATTTGCATTAAAAACTACTACCTTGATTTAAAAAAAAAAAGACCCATTATCACATGCAATCAACGGAGAGTATGGGGGAAAAATTATAAATTTAAAAGATAAGTGAGTTGAAATTTTATATTCAAAATAAAAGCAAACCATTCTACCAACCCCTTCATTTAGGGCAGAAATAAGCATCATGTACCATTTTAATTACAATTACTAATAAAGGGAATTGTGAGAAGATGTTTTTCATAGACAACATTCACATTTAACTTAATCGCCAGGCCAATACTTGTCAAAAATAAAGAAGCATAAAAGCATGGAGTTGAAGGAAACCAAATAAAGCACTGTCCAAATTATTACAGTCATGATCCAGACAATCCTGTCTCATGCAATGACATCTTTATTACATAAGTTCAAACTGGGGCTGTTAAGATACTCCAACGATCATCATCAACTCACTGATCTTAAACCACAACAATGGCCGTTTTCTTCATCATAACAATAGCATACAGATGATAGGATGAAGTTAATGCACTAATCTCTTAAACCCATCATACAGAAGATAGGACAGGGCAAAGGCAGCAATGTGGGCACAGATTAGGCTAAAGTTCGAAGAAAACTGGAAAAATTGGCAGAAATCAGCATAGGTGAAGCAAATCAAAGGCATTTTCAAACCATGGCTGCTAAGGAAACTCCAGAGATTCTATTGAAAATTGAAGACATAGAAGAGGACTGCGGCTTATAAATAGAAAGATGAGGAGATAATGGGCGAAGTCTGTTTTTCACCAGAGCCATGGCCATTGAGGCGGCGGCAGCATCTTTCTCTCCAGATGCTGCCTCAGTAGCAGTTGACAAGGCTCGCTTAGCTTCACAGCCTTTAAGACCTGCTTTGATGGCATCGTCAGCAAACATACTGCAGTGAAGCTTTAAACGGACGAGATAATAGATGCCTTGCAACTTCTCTGCAGGATATCCGTCACCAACTGTTTAAGTCATCTCATCTCCAAAAAAAAAAAAAGAAGCATAACCATCACCCTAAAGGTCCAAAACTGACGAGCAGCTGATTTAATTAGTTTTGCACAAAATATTATTAATACTAATTAAGCAGGTTTATCAAACAAAAAATATTAATAAGCAGGAGGT